TGTAAATATTAAAATGGACACTGAGTTAAACAACGAGTCTGTTTCATGCTTGAATGGAATCTTCCTGACAGCGTTATTATGGCGTGAGGATTGCGTTCAAGCGTGAAACAGAATGTCGACTCCCAGTGATGACCTCAGTGTCCCTTTTTATATTTATATATATATATATATATATATATAGATATCTGATATGCATTTGATATCTATAAATGTCTTCTGCTAATAATATGATATCCTTATCTGACCTTGATGAATGACAGCATCCTGAAACCTTTAGTTGAACATAGACACTGAAGATTTTATTTATTAATGATTATTATTGCCGTTGTTATCTATTGGACCGAAACGCTGTGAATATGGCAATGAAAATGAGGATAACAGTCCGAATAATTTAAATAATACAAGTAATCATAATACACCCTTGTGCAAATTAATTGAAAGAAAACGAATAATTCTGTTATTATTTGCTTTTTTTTACGTATTTTTTCAATGAAACATGACGCAGTGCAAATTTTATTACTTTGTATGTCCATTCCACGAAGTCGTTCCTTGCAGATTGACCACAGATTCTCGATTGGATTTAAATCAGGAGAGATTTCGTGCCAGTCTGTAGTACTTTGATTTGATCACTGGTAAGGCTTGTCAATGTGTTTCTGCAGCATTACAATTTTCGTACACTTCCTCGGTCTAACGTCCATCGTAGACAATAGTCGTAGGACAACTAATCGATAGTCGAGACAATAGTGTCTGGACGGGATAAAAATCTGACGCAATCACGGATGACGCAATATTTTTCAAGGCGAAACAAATTTCATCGCACACCCCGAAAATAGATTTATATTATTGGACACTACTGCAACAAATGACCTAATCTGAGAAAAAATAGACATCGATTACACCCTGTCTCTCCAGTGGGTCTAAAACTGACTTTATGGTAAAAGAAAGGAAACTAAAGCGGCTGTTTGAATTAATTTGCAGAAGGGCGTACTCTGAAGATCTTTTTTATTAATGATTATTATTGCCGTAGATATCTATTGAGCGCGCTTTTTGCTAAATTTCTGCTCACTTTAACATGTGTTAAATTACATCATTTTACATATATACAGCAGCTTTCTAAGATTGATGGTTAAAAAAGGTTTGAGCGAGTGAAGCCTGAGGGTCATGGCAAAGGACATCCTTCTTCGTACATTGTGGACTGGCGCTACAGAATCGCAAACAAAAAACTGTATCAAATAACAGAAATGACATCACTTGAGGACTATCAACAGCAGCTACAACAAAAATGATACTCGACGAGCAAATAATGCCATAATCAAAATGGCGCCTTTTGAAACTAAGCCAAATAAAAGCTTAGAAAGGACACCCCCGTAATAATGGAAAGAGCCATAACAGCTACTGGATTTGAAAAGCCTATTTTTCTGGAAAATTATTTTAAATAAATGATTTTATAAATTTCAACCGACGGCAGTACTGGCTGGTCAGTCAATAAATGCCGAATGTTTTCTTGTAAGGAAACGACTACTATTACCATTACCATCATATGAATACGTATTTTTTATTATTATTGATATGTATGCGTGTGTGTGTGTGTGTGTGTGTGTGTGTGTGTGTGTGTGTGCGTGTGTGCATGACTAGATAAGAAAAGAGATAGGCAGATGTGTTAAGGCGATCAGCGTCTCCGTGGTGATAACAACAATCATGGCGTCCGTAAAGCTAATGATGAACGCTGAATCGATACTAACAACTTCTGACTTGTCCCGACAAAATGAATCGTTGTTCTGTAAAGGGGAGCAAACCGGACGCCATTAAGTCACTTATGATGGCATTCCTGTCGTTGTGAAGCGGGAACAATCTAAATAATCGTCAAATATTTCCCATCACGGACGGTTTGAAGGAAAAGAGATAAAACGAGAGAAACAAGAAGAAAAGAAAGAGGGATTATAGCAGAAAGTGAGTTAAAAGAAAGAAAGAAAGAAAGAAAGAAAGAAAGAAAGAAAGAATGAAAGAATGGGCAGTAAAAAGAAAAACAATGAAAATTAAGACAGTTGGGGGAGATGAAAATAAAGAATGAAAAAAGTATAAGTAAGAAAAATGGGAAGGAGGAAGCACGAAAATTAAAATCATATGGTTGGAAAAGAGAAAGAAAGAAAGAAAGAAAGAAAGAAAGAAAGAAAGAAAGAAAGAAAGAAAGAAAGAATAATAGTTAAAGAAAGAAAGAAAGAAAGAAAGAAAGAAAGAAAGAAAGAAAGAAAGAAAAGAAAGAAAGAAAAGGAATAGTTATATGGAGGAGAAGAAAGAAAGAAAGAAAGAAAGAAAGAAAGAAAGAAAGAAAGAAAGAAAGAAAAGGAATAGTTAAAAGGAGGATAAGAAATGGAAGAAAAAAGAAAGAAAAAATAGTTATATGGAGGAGAAGAAAGAAAGAAAGAAAAAGAAAAGAAAGAAAGAAAGAAAGAAAGAAAGAAAGAAAGAAAGAAAGAAAGAAAAAAAAGAAAGAAAGGAATAGTTATATGGAGGGAGAAGAAAGAAAAGAAAAGAAAGAAAAGAAAGAAAAGAAAGAAAGAAAGAAAAGAAAAGAAAGAAAAAGAAAGAGAAAGAAAAGAAAGAAAAAAAAAAAAAGAAAAGGAATAGTTATATGGAGAAGAAAGAAAGAAGAAAGAAAAGAAAGAAAGAAAGAAAGAAGAAAAGGAAGAAAGGAATAGTTATATAGATGAGACCAAAAGGTTATGTAGAAAAGAAAGAAAGAAAGAAACAAACAAACAAACAAACAAAAAGAAAAAGAGAAAAGTAAAAACTTATGTGGATGAGAATAAGAAAAAAAAAAGAAAAGAAAGGAAAATGTTGTGGATGAAAAGAAGAAAGAAAAAAAAGAAAAGAAAAAAAAACAGGAATAAGTTTATGGGGATGAGAAGAAAAAATAAAAAAGGAAGAAAGAAAAGGAAAAATTATGTGGATAAGGAGGAAAAAAAAGAAAGAAAGAAAATGAAAAAGTAAGGTTGCAGGATCGAACTGCCTGAGAGAATATATGTTTTCACGTACGGATGGGATAGCGACTTCTTCCTCCAATACAAAGCCCAAAACTACCCCACGCTAGTGTTACTGAATGTGGTTGTTGTCAGGAGGTAAATGCAAAAAATAATAAGTAGCTGAGTTTACGTCCCGATGTCTATAGGTCTCCTCGATCGAGGCAAAGAACCAACCAACATCTTTATCAACGCATCATATGTGTGAGTTCTACTTGAAGTCTAGGCTGAGCTGAAGTCCCAATGTTTATAGAAATCCTGGAGCAATGCATAGAACCAACGATTATTCCTCCATCATTTGTGATAGAACGAAAAGTTCTAATTTCGGTTTGACTCATTATAGATGTATACCATACTAAGATCTACAAATGACAGGAAGTTGTGGCGTGCCATGTTTGCCTCTGGCCTAAGTTTATAGTTTTATAATTATATATATATATATATATATATATATATATATATATATATATATATATAAAATAAAAAGAAAGATATATAAGATATATAATCGGGTGTTCTTATTGATATTTTATTTTTTTACAACACACTGCTCGATGTAAATTTACAGAGCATAAATATGATAAATTAACTGATTTAAAATATGGTTTCTTCGCTACAAAGGAATTACCATGTTTCAAAAACCGAAGCTAAAACTTCAAATTTAATTAAATTAAAAGCATTAGTTCTGTTTCATATTCAAGCGCATTTTGGAATAACTTATTTTTAAATTTACTGAGTTTAAACGCACATATAATTCATAATTTCTTGTTTTCAAGGATAGAGAGAAATGTAATCATTTAGACAGGGCCGGTAGCGTGTTTATTTTTATTAACTATTGCTGTATCAATTAGATTTACAATTATGAATTTATTTTATCCTCTGCATTTAATTACGTAGTTAACGTCAATACTCTATATGAACGCTAATAATTTTAAGATGCTAATGTATAATACGCTCCCAGTGAAGATCGAAATCACTAGTAAGTATCAATTGATCAATCAATATCTGCATATTTAAATAGAAACAAGATTAAAACTATAATCTTGTATGCAGGTTTTATCACAGTTGCAATAAGTTCGTCTTTGCAATTTACCCCTGAATATGGCCATAGAAAGGACTGAAACTACTTGGGTTTGCAAAAACTATGGCACCTTCCTTCATGAATTTTATCTTAACATCAAGAAACTGATTAAAGAACCGGAAAGGATCAGTATAAAAATAAGTAGATACAATATGTCCATATTATTCAATGAAACATGTGGGAATGAAGATAATGTCCACACACACACACACACACACACACACACACACACACACACACACACACACACACATATGTATATATATATATATATATATATATATATATATATATATATATAAAGTGAACATAGAAGTCAACACTTAGAGGTGACAGTCTGTTTCATGCTAGATACAATCGTCAGGCCTGACGATTGCATCTAGCAATCTATGTTCACTTTTATATTTACACACAGTCTCTCTGATATTGAGCACTTTATCCCATAAATATAGTACATCTTAAGACCATATTTCTTTATATATATATATATATATATATATATATATATATATATATATATATATATATATATATCCCAAAATATATATATATATATATATATATATATATATATATATATATATATATATATATCGTTTCGAAAAACCCCTCGAATTTTTGATTTGCCAATAATCAAATCAATCTTGAAGGAAAAAAAGGTTTTAAAAAAGAAAGAGCTAGAAACATGAAAGTCTGTCGGAAAAATCGCACAGATGCAGGTTTAAAAGCCCAAAAGAAAAAAAAACAAACACGAGTAAACAACAAACTAAAAAAGAGCTCAATACAACCGTAGGGCAGACCTAGATAAATCCGTGTAGGTGAAACCTGGGTAGGTTTGTCTGGCTCACTAGGTTTATCTATCTATCTATCTATCTATCTATCTATCTATATATATATAT